ATTGAGTGGCACAGACATGGTGGGTATATGCTGGTTAATCTGCAATGCCACACCTCCATGAAATCATCCATCAGACAACCTTCATTCTGGTACAAAGAAAACTGCTGAAAGGTTACAGTATCAGTAGGTTTGAGGAATGTTTCCTGTAATGAGAGACACACGGGATGATAGAAATCAATCAATGCCTTAAAGTTATCCAGATTAGAAGAAAAACATTGATAGATCCACTATATCACAGTGGCCATTGACACAATGGTGTTTTTTCTTAGTAGAAAGAGGTATGTCAACCTCCATGGAACCTGACCTGGGTCAATTGGGCAGATCTCTGTTGGTAGAAGGAGCCTCCAGAGACTGAGTATATGACTGAATAATGGTTCTGCACCTCGAGGCCAAAGGATAGGGACCCAAGCAGTCACTGGATGCCACAGTGGGGACAGACAGGACTAGATGTAGACTTGTCAACTCCTGCATCCGAAGGGGGCAAAAGACTCTTGACCTGGTGAGAGAAAGACTCTGTTGGAGGCACAAAAAGATATTTCTCTTCCATCCATTTAGGGCAAGAACAAAAGTATGAAGGCTATGAACCACCACAATTGATACAGTGAGAGTTTAAATGACATCTGTGGGATGGAGAAACCAGCAAGGATCTCCGACTCTGGGATTTTGTTTAATCCCTCTCAAAGATAACTCCTTGTGGGGAATTCAGAGTAGCATGGGGAGCAACCTATATAGGTATGTCCCCGATGGCCTTTGATTTCAAGAGTTTGCCATGTTTTGATGTAGATGATTCCACCAAGATGTCCCCACAACATAACTTCTTGAATGACTTTGGAGAGCCAGCAAGCCCTTCTAATCACTTCAGGATAAAATGGGGTTTATCAGAGAGAAAACAAAATCATAAAATGAGGTACAGACTGAAGTGGTGACTGCAGATCTGAGTTTTCCATACATATGGTCACATTCCAATCTGAGTTTTCCATACATATGGTCACATTCCAATCAACATTCTTTTCTTTGGTCTTTTTGGGTCACTGAGTGAGGGATCATAAGAAATGGAGAATATTCCGTGCCCACTGACTCAAACCACCATGGAGCCCTATGAGGAGATGCACTACAATGCCAAAAAAGATTAGTGCAGCTATAGCAGGGTTTCATGGGCACTATACCCAAACACCAACATAAGACACAGTGTCCACAACATCTGTTGAGAACATCCAACACTGGCACTTAGTTGACCCTAGTCCAACAGAACCAGCCAATTGACCTTGGGGGAGCAACCCCTCAAGGCCACCGATCTACAGGAAATCAAGGCCAAAGTGATGTGTTGCAGTGCCACTGATATAACTCACCCATCAGGACACCCCTCCACTACCAGGATACTCTCTTCCCCTTCACAGGATGCCACGCATGGTAAACACGTAGGTGGATGTTGTGATCCCAGAGAAGGTAAATTAAAGAGACAGAACCTTCCCTAGGAGGTCCCCTCATCACATACAGGAATCCACCTTGAGGGGAGTAGGCACAGGTAAACAAGTATTTTCAAAAGAGGAAGAGATGGGCAGAGCCACTGTGGTGGGTTTGCTAAATATAATGATATCCCAGGAAATAGAAAAGGCAGCAGGTTCTTATTTAATACTAGCAGCATTACCCACCTTTACCCAGGTTTTTTGAGAAAAAAAACTATTCTCTGTTTCCCCATTCCATATTTTGATAGGCAAAAATATTTTGTGAATTTATAAAAAACAAACAAAAAAACCTTAGTTTTGATTTTTGAAAATAAACTATGAACCTGTTTAAAATAAGGGCTTCCTTATGAATGATATTTTTTGTTTTTCCTTCACTGACAAGGATCAATAGGCCCTTATTGTTCCCTACTCTTGAGCATCCAATGTAGAGTTGTCTATGTGAAAAACATAATGATGTAAATTCAAGTCCCACTACTTTCAGAGACTGGCCATGTGTGTGAACTCAAGGAGAGATCAGTTGAAATTATTGGGATATGCGAGATGAAAACATGTTCCCCTCCCCTTTGTTGTTACCAGTAATAATTTTATCTTATAGGCTAGGTCTACTGTTTGCTTTTTCACACACAAAATTCTAATTATGCCTACATTTCTTTCATGTGTGAGGTTAAATATACAATGTATTAGCAGATGTATAATTGATAATCTATAACTAAATAGGCCTATCTATTCTAATGCCAATAAAAACAAAATACAATTTCCAGGTTCAACCTATCTTCCACCTCATGCAAGTGCTCTACCAGTTATGCTGACTTGACTTTAATCTCATTGTACACAATAAGTATTATAATTTAGGCCTTACTCTTTTCACTTAGTCTATTTTATGGCAGACAGCATAATTGTATATTATAGGCTAGGCCTAATGTTTGCTTTTTTCACACACGACATTCTAATTCTGCATGCATTTCTTTTGTGTGAGGTTAAATATATGATGTATTAGTAGATCTATAATTAATGATCTATAACTAAATAGGCCTATAATGTTAATTATAAATTAAATGTTAATTCAAACTTACCAAAAAAATTTCAAGTCTGAGTAGAATCATAGCCATGTAAAACATGTTAACAAAAAATTACTGGTTTGGCTAGCAGACAATAGACGGACATATCAACAAAAAATTGTCATTTTGCACTCCTTCAAGTGAATGCGACAGACAAACAAGCAAGCAAGCAAATGAACAGAGAGATTTTGATTATATATATATATATATATATATATATAGATTATAGCTTGTTAATATTGGTAATTTGAGTTTCTAATTCATTATAAAGATGTAGACTTTACATTTTACAACAACCACAATCCAATATGAGCAAATGCAAAAGATGTTCTACCATGAGACACAAAAAATTAATATTTAGCAATTTTTTTAAACATTTACTTTTAAATCAAGAAAGTAAATAATGTATGATACTAAAATTTGAATAATAAACTACAATTTGATTCCAAATTCATGGACATACATTCATAAAATAGCAGTTCAATAAAGTTTTGAATGTAAATCTACAAAACATGATGATGTGCTCTAACCCCTACCCATAAGTGCATGTCATGACTTTTTAGAAAGTTACATTCAAAACTTAATTAATCTACTTTATTATTAAGGTATACGAATAAATTTGGTATGAAAAATCGTTAATAAACCAAATTTTAGTACAAGTTTTAAGTTCTTAATTTTATAAAGAAATATTTAAAAAATCCACAATCTCCCCTAGTATGAAAATTGTGACATTTGCTCTCTAAGTTTTTCCTCTTCTCTAATTTACTTACCAAACTCTAAGTGAAGAATAAAATTTAAAGTAAATAACTCATTATAATATAGTAGTGGCTCAGGCAATGTATAATTTTTACAGCCTTCAATCATATTTGTTTATGGAGTCATAAACTAGAAAATAAGACCCCTCTTACCATACCCACCTGTCACATCCTCTCTCTAACAAATTGCCAATAGTTCTGTCTTACACTTAATACTATATTATTTATAACCATTAGAAAGCCAAAGTTTACACTGTATACTGTTTAGAGAACTGTCTATTTCTCTTTTAGTTCACACATTATTCCCAAGAGAAACATATTGACAAGCTCACCTGAATTTTTAATGGGTCTTACCATGTCAGAATGCCAGAAAAATGTTGATAGTTATAAGAAATTGCCTACTTTCTACATGTTATTATTCTGTGATCTTAGGAGCATTGTTTAATTAAATAAAAAATTATTTAGTGTAGTAGTACCATTAGTACAAAAAAGTAGGGTTGAGTTTCATATACAGACAACAGCAAAAAAAAACAGAAGTCCCAGGTAAGTACTACATTTCATGTTTTTCATGTATATTCTTTATTTATTTATTATTATAAAAGTAATTAATATGTAACAATTAGGTTAGATTAGGTATGATAAAGAAAAAATAAAATAAAATTATGATGTACACTTGTGAGCAGCTCATGCATTACATAATTAGACAGGTTAATATGAGCTACAAATTTGCCAAATGATTTATGACTTGTGTGGCAGGATTATTAGTTAGGGTTCAAAGTGCAATAAAACAATAAAATTCAAGTAGAAACAGATGTATACTCTTACAAGCTTTAAGCTATTTAGGATAAACAAAGGTAGTTTCCTGTTAAAGCCAGAAAGAAAAAAATGGTAACTTAAAATATATTTTGTATTGTTTTATGGTGGTTGAGGTCAGTCAAATTGACATCCTGTATAGAGTTAGGGTAGAGAATATAACAGATAAAATATAATGTTTTAATGAAAAAAAACATTTGAAATTTATTTAGAAGGATTTAGAGATTATATAAATGAAATTTGACAATTTTCAGATGAAAAAAAT